AAAAATTTTTATTTTATTATTTTTTGTGCATTGTACCATCAAATCAGATCTGACTGGTACAGGAGGAGATTGTGCCTCCTTCTCCAGCAGAGCATCTTGTGGATTCGAACGAGGCACATCTGGGATTGCAGTGCAGCTTCTTGCCACTAGGCCACCAGAGTTTTTTTATACTAATTTATTTACAAAATTGAAATACGTTGTTTTTCACACCAGATCCTTCTCATTTCTCTCACCCCCCCATTAAATTGTATGACCCCATGATTAATCCCCCCCACATCGTACAGCCTCATCCCTCTGCTTCCGCCCTCCTCCCCTCCCCCTTGGATCCTCATGTTCATTCTACAGTAATGGTTTTATACAGTATTTGTCCTTTTGGGACTGAGTTAGTTCACTCAGTATAATGCTCTTCACTTCTCTCCCAACTTAGGTAATAATTTTATACTGGCTTACATACAGAGTTCATAAAGTTAATTTACATTGTTTTTTCACACCAGACCTTTTCCCTTTACTTTACCAATCCCTCCCTCCACCTATCAAATTGTGTGACCCTATGTTTAAGCACCCCCCCTTGGCTCCTTGTACACACTCTACAATAATGGTCTTATAAAGTGTTTTTCTTTATGAGACTGAGTGTTAGTTCACTTAGCATAATGCTCTCCAGTCCCTCCCATGTTAAGTAGTAATTCCCCTCTCTTTGCAAGCTTATTCTGTCCAGCAGCGAGGCTTCCTGCCTTTGCATTCTTCAGAGTCTGGCCATTGTTGTTTGCATTGGAGTTGTTACTTACTCAGAGCAGCTCATGCACAGCTGAACGAGTCTGGTCTGCTCCTGTGACTGCCTCACAGTCTCTGCTATGCTTAGCCTATTTCATATGGTATAGTCCACCTGAGTAAGGGATTTCTTCACCTTCCATGACTCTACATGCATGGGATCCTTTTCCAGGGCTTGCACGCTTCTAACAACGTATCCATGGTACGTGAGTTGAATGCCTAATACCTAGCCATTGGATACTATTGTTGATTTTTAATATATCACAATTTTCAGTTCCTTAATAATGCATCACTTTGCAAATATTTTTTCACTTTTCTATGCATTTTTGGTATTTGTCTTTCAAATGCTAAATTCCATAAAAATTATAAAATTGTATTGTAGATTCCATAAAAGCTTTATTGTTATATAGATAGTACTCAGTTCTTGGTATACAGTTAGCACTAAATAAATGTTGGCTGAGTGGGGAGATGGCTTGGTGAAAAGTTGTACAATGAGTCTTGATCTTATTGCTATATTTTTGTTACTTTCTCTAATGGGAATAAACACATGCTTCCTACCTTCTAATTTCCATGCCACCGTTTTTTTATCCTTCAAAGCCTTAGAATAAAGGTTTTCTTTTCTAGACAGTCTTCTAGTTTTCCATATGATAAAAACACTTTTTATTTTTTTTCTACCATCTAATGGTAGGTTTTCGATAAGCAGCTGTGTTGCAAACTCAAAGGCATGCCGCTCGAATCCACTAGCTGCTCTGTGGGAGAAGGCTGGACAGTCTCCTATCGTATGACATACTATAGTATTTCTGAAAACATGCTGGATGGTCAGAAATGAGTCTGATCTGATTCAACTGCCCACAACATCAACAACAATCATATAGTATGGTAGGGAGCTCTTGTTATATAATCCACAGTGATTGCTCTGTTAATTCAAATCCAAGCCTCCCTGGAGGTTTTAATCCACTGGCAACTCTGAGAGAGAAAGATGGACGCTCTCCGTCCCTGCAATTTACTTGGAAACCCAGTGGAAGTTCAGCTATGAGTTGATTCCAACTCAGTAAACTGAATGAGTGAGTAAATAGAATAGGATTAAAGAGTGTGTCTTGGTGATAAACAATTATGTATTTACTGCCTGTATTTTGAACCAGTTTCTTAATTGTGATGGATGGGACATGGTTTATACATAAACTTTAATTGCCACATATGTAAAATGTAACTTGAAAGTAACAATATGGACCAATTTGCAGTAAAATGTGTTTCATTATTACAGAGCGAGGGACTCTGGTTACTGCAGCCCGCCTCGATGTGGAGAAAGCAGGATTTGCACGTGTTCACTCCTTCTCCATTAGGGCTTGTGATCTCGATCAACGTTGTGCAGCAATTTCTGTGACTGCCTATATCCGTGGCATCAATGACAACGTTCCTTTCTGTGATCAATATGTGATTAGGTAAGCTGAGATGGGGGATGGGCAGGGACAAGAAGACAGAATGGGTATTGCCCTATGTGTTGGTCCAAGTGGACATGTGATTGATCATCAAAGTGACTCTTGTTCTGCAACAGCTTGGTGCTTAGAAATGATTTGTTGCAAAGATCTGTGAATGTTCATGCCTGAAAGCTGGCTCTTCTGGGCCAGCCTATAAGTGGTTAAAAGCTTGAGTTTTGGAGTTATTTATAGACTTGGTTTGCATTCCTTGTCCTGTCATTTATTGCACTCTGGTATCGTAGTTTAGAGAAAGGACACCCATAGACTTGCCTCTTTCTAGTGCTTCAAAAGATGAGTAACCTCTAGTTTGAATTATAATCTTAGAAAGGGAGTGGGGGGGAGGAAGAGGGAGAGAAAGAGTGTGTGTGTGTGTGTGTGTGTGTGTGTGTGTGTGTGTGTGTGTGTGTTCAGTGGTATAATTCTTTCTTGTCACATGGGAACCCAGGTTTTGATTCCTGGCCAGTGCTCCTCATACCCAGCCATTAATCATCTGCCGCTGGAGGCTGTGTGTTGCTGTGGTGCTGAGATTTCAGTGAAGCTTCCAGACTGAGACAGACTAATGCAAAAGGATGGTACAAATGACCAAATATTCAACTACTTACCAAAAGATTGGCAGTTCCAACTGACTCAGAGGCACATCAGAAGATCTGCTATTCTGCTTCAAAAGCATCCTTGAAAATCACGTGGAGCAGTCCTCCTCGGAACACATGGGACTTCTAGAAGAGGAAATCAACTAGGCAAAATCCTTTTGTAATGTCTTGTGTTATATAATCATCCTAGTTCATTTTCAAATACATGAATGGTTCCATAGTTAAACACACAAATACATTTTTCATAGTAAATGGGACAAATAAGGATCTGGAAGTCAGGTAAAATTTACCATCAAAACTTCAAGTCTGGTTGAGTTTTGATACCAAAAAAATTATGAGAATTTTGAGTTTCAGAGCGTTTTGGATTTTGGAATTTAGGTAAAGAAGTGTGGGCCTGCATATTACTGTATGCGTAACTACTTGCATTATCTGAAGCTCAGTCCTCAGCCCTGTTTCTGTTACTGTTCTACATCTTCTACTTTCCCTGCATCTCAATTACATGTAGAAAAGCTGCCTCGTGGCTATTTATGCACAAAAAGATTTACTTCTGTTTAGGAACCAAAGAGAAAGTCTAGCCTTAGAAAATTACAGTCATGTGGGATTATTTAGCCCCCATTACTCTACCCTTCAAATGGGGATAATAGTTGCACCCAACATTCTTATAAGGATCAAATACAACCCATCAAAATACCAAAATCATTTTCATCTAGTGGATTCCAACTCACAGCAACCCTACAGAACAGAGTAGATGTGCCTCCTAGGGTGACTGTTGATCTTTATGGGGAACAGACTGCCACATCTTCCCTGTGGAGTGACGAGTGGGTTCAAACCACCAACCTTCAGTTTAGTAGCTTAGTGCTCAACTATTGTACCGCCTGGGCACTTTCAAATACAACCAATGACTGGAATTTGTTTGGTGCAGACCTTTCACATAGTAAGTGCTATTAATTATGATTATTATTACTATTATTAACATCATCATCACCATCATCATCCCAGGAGGGTCATAGTTAATTAACCAAATAGCTACCACCTACTGTACCCAATGCCGGTACCCCCTAGAGACAACAGTAGGAGTATTTTGTATGCTTATTTACTCTAATGAGCGTGTATTGTTTCAAGACAGTAAGATGAGTGCATACAAAACAGAGCAAAGGTATACATTTAATTTTACATTAAGAATTATGCGCTGGCTTTTGATTATTAGAGGAAGAACATGGATGGCTAGAATAACCAGATAAGTGTCCTTAAGGAGTGACATCTAATTAGACTTCAAAAGGACAAGTAGAATTTAGGGACCAAGGGCTTAAAAGTGAAATTTTGGGGCAGGTAGAGGTCAAGAAATAGATGAATATTTAAACGTGAAAATAAGTTCACTATATGACTACAGAAGTGTCCTTGTTAATCGCAGAATTCAAACATTCCAGATTATAACAACTCAGAAAAATCACATCCCTGTTTTAGCCCTTCTCTGTTGAGATAAAGCTTTTGATAAAATTCTTACCCAAACAAGTACCCAGCTGGGTGCAGGAAGCAAATACTTTCAGAAATGATAAATCCATTCCAAACCATAGTACTTTTGGGAAATGGCTTCCCACATGGTGTTCAAAGCTGTTCTGTCTGCCCCAAACTAAATAGGGCCTTCCTACATCTGCATTGTCCGAACTAGTGGATATTTATGGGGGGAACATCCCTGCTTTTTAAAGTCATTTTCTTCTTAAAGAATTGCCTTTTCTTCTTAAATAAATGAAACAGGTACACGGGCAGAGAGGTGCTTGCAGAAAACACGGTAGTTGCAAGACTCTCGTGTCATGACGTTGATCAACCTCCTGACACACTCCATTACACACCTCACTCGGGACCAATTGGCTCTGGACAACTCTTTGAGCAGGTGCCCAATGCTGCAAATTTCATCCAGGTGAGCACTAGTTGCCAAAGCTTCTGGAACTTTTCCAAGGATATGGGGTTATTTTGTGGCCACAGGTGAGAGACAGCATTGTCAGTTGCAGGAAGGGGAACTCAGACACAAATTCAGATGTCTTAAAGATGCCTTATTATATATAAGCCATCTGGACAAGTCCTTCATTGTCTTGATGCAAACGTTATATCCTTCTCTTCTTGATGAGATAATGTAATAATGCTCCTTTATTGAGGAAAAGGATTCAGAATCCATAAAGCATGATGATGTCCTTAGAGGTAGGTCTATAGCTACAGGTATGATCATGGTCCATTCATTTTCCTGGCCTTGGAAAAGATGCTGAGCTTTTCTCCCCATTCTGTTTGAGTGATAAACTTTCCATTGGCAGAGAAGTAGGATTTTACCCTAAAAGAAGTCTCTTCTTTCAACTCTAATTTTCACAGGTTTTTGTTGATCCCTGTTGGTGTGGTATAATTATTGTGCTTTATCTAAACGTTGTCGCACAGTTTCCACTAGCCACATACTATGGCTGAAGAAGTTACTGTTTATCTTTCTCCTCCTCTGGCCCTACAACTGAAATTTCTTTACAAATTCCAGAAGATGTAAATTGGATTTTTATATACTTTGTTTTAGAAGGATAAGCACTCACTGAACCAAAAGGATTTACATTTTTCTTTAAATTTTATTAATTTTAATGAACATTTACAGAGATTTTGGATTTTCATTCATTCATTGTTGCACT